TTCGTACGACTAAAAATAATTTCCTCAAAAAATGTGATACCAGTAAATCTGGCTATAGAGGTTCAATAAGATGTGGCTGGTTTCAGATTTTTTCTGTCTTATTGAATAATTTTTATAGTAATTTATGGATGGTATTTTATCGAAATTAAAAAACATTGTATTTACAAACACTTTCATTGGACGACAAAGATAAAATAACATTAATAACAATATTGTATTTTTTTAAATACCCTACAGAATAAGATGAACAACCGTGAACAAGAACTTATTGTTTATTATTAAAAATGAAGATGATTACTTATGTATCTACTTACACTATTGTTCAGGAAAAGTTGAAAATAGTACAAAATAAATAGCTAAAATATTAACTATAGTTAGTGTCTGACCGAAGGTTAGGTTTCAGTTACTTTTTCGGTCAGTTTCGGCCTAAAATAAGAGTTTCGGCTATAGTTTTAGTATCGGCGGAAATAATGCGGAAACTGAAACTACTTTCAAGAGTTTTTGCATCACGCTTGGCGGCGTGTGGCACAATTACGACCGTGTCGCGTACCATTCCTGCACAGTTCATGTGCACACAAACTTCATTTCTGTGTGCCAAACAGCTCTTTGGTACTGCTGGCCAAATTTATTAGAATACGAGGAGCAATTCATTAGATATAAACTGAAAAATTATTATTTCTAGCCTTGATTGGACTTACTTGAATACTTGGTTACGAATATAAATTTAAATATAAGTAGGTAACAAACATGTTATTTTATAAGTTGTATTCGTTTCGTTTGTCATAAAAATTTAAAATTTTGTTTTCGATGTTTTTTATAGCATTGTTGGCAACTTCGTAACGGTAATTTTAAGACCTACTATATTGTGACATGTGGCAGTAGTTGGTTTCTAATATTATTATGTTGGTATTTGGTAATTATTGAACTTTTTTATTAATTCCTTCAATATACAACCATTTGAGCTGGATCCAGGACGTTGGAGTCTATACAGGTCGGCGTATAATACAGGTATGGGTTGAAATTTTCTGGTGGGGGCAAAGCCGAATATTCCGAATCGGCTCGGGATCATTTGTTTGGACACCGACTAGAAACTAGTATGAGACATGGCATCTCGCATCATAGCGCTGTCTAAATATTTTTATTTGTAGCCTAGTAGAATGTATTCTATAAAGCTTGACAAATACACATAAAAATAAGTGAAATTTTTAATTGCATTTAATTATTTGAACAAATTCACTGAGAGTGTTTCAATTTATTAAAAGAGATCTTATGAACTGACAATATTTTGAAGGAATGCAACGCATCACCCACATCAATTGAAGCTTCGCCACTGTGTATTCTAATATTTTTTGTACCTAATTTTATTTTACTGCTATAATTCTATAAAAGTATTTGTAAATGGAATCACAATAAAACACTATCCGTAAAACAAAAATTATTCAATAAGGCACATAAAACAAATCTAAACCCAGCAACATTTATATTTTATTTAGAACAATTTATCGATTTTTTAACACCTGCATACCTATACATACTTTAGTCCAAGAATCAAAGTCGATTTTCATTAAATAAAATGTAGTAACTAATAATAAGTAATACTCCAAAATGAGTACAAGAATCATCATTTTTATAATTTTATAAATAGCTTATAAAAGGATTAGCTCCCTTGCACAGTTCACAATATAATTTTTTTTTTTTTTTTTAATTGATCGGGTCTATATTTTATCCTTTCTTCGCTTGCGAATTCATTAAAAACGGCTTTTACAATTGCAATCAGTCCATATTTACAGTTAAAGATTTCTGTAATTATTTGCACTATAATTATATCTCTAGCCAAGAGATAACAGCACCTCCTGGACAGAATCGAATTTGACGTAAATTCGTTCAGAAAAAAAAGTCCCCTGCCTTAAGAAAGTTTTGCAAACAATAATATATTATCACTACCTAATAATTTGCATATTCCTCAACCTGAAGATGTCAGTGTGTTTAAAGCTATGAAACCAATGAAAAATACACTTAAAGACTAGCAGAAATGCCCAGCGAATGTTAGCCACTCAAAATCATTTTTTGCAGTTTTCCAAGAAATAATGTTTCAATAAATTTTGGTTTTACTCCCAATAAATTTCCCGCTAATACAAGTAATATGACGACGGTCGAAAAATATGACTTTTGGCAACCTATCTAAAAAAGGTTCAACAGTGGTCTGGCAATTTGTCCAGAGTGTCCGAAAAGTTGCAAAAGGGGCTTCTCCCAACTTTTTCTTAGTTACTTTTAAAAAGAATTAATATAACATAGTTTGCATTTTCCCTTTCTATTCTTAATACTCCATTGATTACTTATGTCCCTATAGAATATACACAAAAAAATAACTCAATTAAGTATGTACGTTTTCCCACCAAGAATTTCTTGAGTGTACGATAACAGATTTGATCACCATACCATCTATTCTCACCATGTGAACTGTTTTTTAAATAGCTTTCAAGCCAAGTCAGAAAAGCATGAGAAAGACCAAGCTTTTTAATTTAAATTGCAATAAAGTATGATTAAAATCAGAATATATTGTGTCAACTTGTCTATTTTCATAAAATTTTGAATTTTGATTTTCCTAGTATTACCATTAAATAATTTACAAATTTGAATCTTGATTTCTGTGATGCAGAACTTTCTATGAATAATTTTCTTTATAAAATGAATCAAAATAAATTTCCCTTTTTCAGACATATTGCATATTGGCTTCAAACAAAGCTTATGTTAAATCTTAAAAGGCAGCTGTTTAGAGAATTTAAATTTTACACCTACCACATTGCCAGATTTCCATTCTTGTTTTACAGTTTCTTTTTAATTTTAGCTTTTAGTATCCTTTTATAGTTTTCTTTATTATTGTAATATCAAATGCTGTTTGATATTTATATTATCTCATAGATATTGTATTATTTTTTGTTATAAAATGGTACCTATATCTGTTACATAAATAAATAATTTTTGAGAGCGAGAAAAATCTGTGGTTCACAAAAAATACATCCAAATAATATAAACTTAAAGCTGGATTAATAAACTACGTTCAGTTCACTCTCAGTTTAAGTTCACCATAAACAAAGCAGAACGTACGTACTAATTTATTAACTTCGTTCGCACTCAGTTAGAGTTCAGTTGATGCTGAGAGATGACCAAGTTTTATGTTCGCCATTCACCTACGAATGTCGATACAATGAAAATACGTATCTGGTTATTTGACCATGCATACGTAAACGCAATCCTAAAATGACACAGTAAGTTTGTTTTGGATAAGAAATTATAACGGATTTATAATTATTTTATAACCAACACCATCTACAAATAAAATTAAAAAAAAAAAAATAACGAAATATAATTTATTTTGTGGAATTTGTGGTTGGGTACCTACATCACAAACTCACCAACTCAAACTGAGCGTGAATTGAACAGTTTATAAATCCAGATTAAAGAACATTTTTAATTTCTAAAAATTTTCCTTGCTCTCAAAATGTATATTTGACAACATATCTAGACAACTCAAATTTACTTTTTCCTTGATTTAAAAAAATTAATATATAGCCCTGGCAACTATGTAAAGTTCTGAAATTAATCAGCTCACAAAGTACTGGGCCTTAATATTATATTAAAGTAGCAAATAAAACATAATTTTCTGTTTCTATTTTCAGTTACAAATATATAAAAAGTTAGTTACTTAAAACTTTATTGGGTAAAGTTGCAGGAAAGGTATGTACTGACGCGCATCCTGGCCACGCATATAAAATAATTAATTTATCTATGGTTTTACGACAGTATAACTGTACAACATTATCAGATTGCTACTTTTATATTATTAATAAATAAAATCCAAGTAAAATAACAAATAAATAAATAAATATAAACAACTACGCGATAAATATAACGATGTTTACATATGCGCGGCCAGGATGCGCGTTAAGTACATACCTTTCCTACAACTTTACCCTTTATTGAAATTATCAAGTATAGAAAATAGGATGAAATCATCCATACTAGAGATGTTCGATACATAGAAAAGTATCGATACTGCGTATCGATTCAGATCGAAGTTTAATGTATAGATACACTTTAATATCGTAAGCACCAGTATCGATACTCAAAATATCGATATTGTATACTAATGTACATAGTACAAGAAAATTAATTTAAAAATATTGAAGTGAAATAATCATATACGGAAGTATAAATAGATTTTAAGATATAATTAAAAAATATATACATTATTTCAACCAAACTAACTATGTTTAAGGGGGTGGGTGGCTCAGTGGTTAGAGCCTCTGCCTGTGGATCCAAGGGTCCCAGGTTCAAATCCCACCGTTGGCCGGAATTTTTTCATTTAATTTAATTATTTAAAATTAATTCTGATGCCTTGGTAGGATTCCCCACTCGACCATTCACTGTTGGGTTCTAATTAACAGTGCTGTTCCTAAAGTGGCGCTGGGAAACAGTAACAAAGCCTACACAGAACACACATGATTGAGAATTTAAAACACAAATTTGAGACTGGCATATTAGGTATATACACCTAGGCCATAAATCGAAAAAAAAAAAAAAAAAAAAAAAAAAAAAAACTATGTTTAATATCTTATCCATATATGGCAGTTTAACGCCCGTGTGCAACGTACATGTTTAATCCAGATCAAGGGTTTAATCGCGTTTAGTACCATAGCTAAAAATGGTACTAAACGCGATTAAACTCTTGATCTGGATCAAACGTGTACGGTGCATACGGGCGTTAATTCATAATTAGTGATGCATAAGTGTTATTTTATTTTCGATACGATTTAACATATACATGTATCGATACGGGGTATCTTTAAGCCGTAGAATATCGATACAAAATATCGAGTTTCCAACTCCTGAATATCGATACTGTCAAATATCGTATCAATTGCACATCTCTAATCCATACCCATCATTTGTTATCTTTTAATATGCATTTCCCATATATAATGCAGTAATGTACTTACTCAGCTGTGTCCACAGGCTTTTCAGGTTTTTCTTTTTTAGGCCGCCCAGTTTTAGGTTTTGTAGGAGTTTTAGACTGATTCATAAAATGTGAAAAAATTTCAGTCTGTTTAAGTAGATAATCGAATCGCCTTCCTCTATCTGAAGCAACTTTGATTTCAAAGTCTTCACCCTTTGAAGTAGTGTCTGAGGATGATTCATTTTGGCCAAGCACCTGAAAAGTGTATGATTAAAAAAAATGTTATGGCTTGTAATAAACATGCAACTTACTGCAGTCTCGACCTCATCTCTTGTGACGGAGGTTTCAGCAACAGCAACAGCCTCTACTGAGTCTTCAGCGGACATTTTTCTGTATATCAAGAAGAAACCTACTAAAAGAATTATCCGATTTTTAATATTGTAAGATATTTGACTAAAAGGTTACCGAATCACTTATAAACAATACATGGGCGCGAAATCCATTAAATTAAACCGTCCACTGGTCCACTACCCTAGAAGGCTGGCATCCGGCTCAGTGTTGTTCCTAGGGATTTTTGAATTGTACAACTTTCAGTGTCAAAATTGTACACTTTTACTTTCGATTGTACAACCACTAATTAATCTTCTTTTTTATTGACAGACTATGGCCTACTACTTTCCCATGCTTAAAATTCTTCATTTTTCCAGTTTAAAATATATTTTTGATGTAAAACGGTGTACTGATTGGTCGCGAATGGCGCCAAATTTAAACTTTTATTTTTTTAATAATTTTAATGCATGCTATTTAACAAATGGTAGACTTTTTGAGCGAAGAAAACCTTTTATATACCCATTTTACATAAATATTTAGCAATTTCAAATTGTACAACATTTCTGTCTTTTTTCAAAAGTGCGTACAACAGTACAACCGCATAACTGATTGTACAACTTTTTGTACAACCAAGGAACAACACTGCTTCTGTCCACACCACAGAACACTTACTCCACACACACAGAGCTGAGTTCGAAAAGTACACTCGAGCGCGCTCGATTGACACTAGCCGTTCGAAAACTCTAGAACGTTACGCTGTATAGTTCGAAAACTACGTTCTCTGATCCCTCGAGCGTCGCTTTTTCCAACCGAGTATTTAGCCGGTTGAGATTCACACGACATACGCATTTTACACTTTGACTGACAAGAGTAACAACATTGAAATTCTCCCGCTCTCTGTCATTTACGTTTTGTAAAAAAAGTAGTTTGTAGTAGTTGGTTTGGTTCAAAATCTATTAGGCATTCCAACGACCTGTCCAAATGGCTACCAGTGGGGACTGACAGTTCGCAGCCATTTTTATTGTTCATCTCACTTGGGACTATTTATAATAACCATTTTCTGTTTCACATTGTTATTGTTCAATCCACAAGCTGGTGGATCAGACAATAAGAATGTGAAATAGAAAATGGCTATTTTAAATACTCCCAAGTGAGATGAAAAATAACCTATCTTCGCCCATAGAGTCGCACATCAAGTCTATTGACAAGCATTCTACCCCGCTCCAGTTCATTGACTCTGTCTCTGCCACATACGGACTACGGACCTATCACCACATTGCGTTCGGTCTGCCACGTTCTTTTTACTCCTTTAACACTTTTTACTCCAAACGACCCTTTTAGCGTTCGGTTTAGTCCGATTAGTAACAGTCTCGTCCACAAAGCATGTATCTTCTAGAGACCCCACGCCAATGTTAAACTTCTAAACCAAATGAGCGCCACCTTGTGTTTGGAGCTGGAACTAAAATGACAATTGACAGATGGCGGTAAATTCAAATTGTAATTTTTAGGAGTAGGTAGTAGTTTCAAATTAAATTTTAAATGATTTCCACATAAATTATTTTATAAAATAAAGTATGGAACTAGTAAGTTCGAAACTTTTATTTTACAAAATAATTTAGGTCGATTATACCAAATTTGAAGAATTAATTTGTTATAAGGGGTCTAATGTGGAGAGTTGGTTCTGCATATTTTTATTAAATAAATATAAGATATATCAATAAATAATAAAATAGAACATTCTTAAAATATGTTTATTAATAACTTAAATAAATATTATTAGATAAAAATAAATACAAATAATAATACATATTTAAGGAATACTTACTTGGAGCAAATAGATATATAATCTCAAATCTTTAAAATACCTATCAATAATTTAAATGTGAAGTAGAGACTAGGATATTACATTTTATTAACACTAAAGTTATATATTTTATAAATGTCTTTTTAACTGAGGACAAATGTAATATAGGTATTGTATTAAAAGGTGAATCCTTTTAACTATTCATTCAATGATAAATAGGTATTTTCCTTCCAAATACAGATGGTGGTATTACTCTCTTATGTGAAAAATGATTTCGGAATCTAGTCCAGTGATAAATTGATTATCAATTAGTTGTTGTGCCCGTTTATCTTTTTATGATGCAGATGCATGGTGAATATATGGTGAATCAATGAAGTTTTTCTCGAAGTTTTCAACGTAGCACCAAAATTATTGCAAAACACAGTAGGAAATAAAAAAGCGAAACATCACAATTTTGCAAATAACTAAGACGAAACTATAAACAGAAACCAAAAGCCAAAGCCAACAAAAAATCACTAAAATCAGACGGAAAAATGAAACTAACCAAGAACATAAATAAATACACGTCACATCTTTGGAGTCTTTGGTTAAGTTTTTCTCCCATAAGGCTTAAAAATTGAGTAAGAAATCATAATTTCACCAGTAGCCCCATCTAGAGTTTGGAGCAAATAGCATACAAAATGTCAGTTGTCGGTTTTGACCTTGGTCATTCACGTGGAACCTCTATGTGCTTTGTGGTCTCGTCTTCTATACAATGAACTGGAGTGGGGTAGAAAGCTAATGTGCATATTTTATCAATGGGGCATGTTCAAAAATTTTAAAATTTTTTTTATGAATAATAGAGTTGAAAATAAAATTACATTTTTTTTATTTTTTTTTTATCTATTCATTTGCCGGAGTTATGAATTTTTTTAAAATTTATGACGTCACCGGGAATAGACCAATAGGAGCTAGCGCACAACGTTGCCGGCTAGAAGGTTTACGAGAAGTGATGTACGTTCGTTTGTGTACTCCTTCTTACTTTTAGACTTCTAAAACATCGTTAAACAAATATCTTTTAAATATATAATAATATCAAATGTTTTTTGAAAGTGTTATTTCTGTTTAAACTTTTACCACAGAATACTTTTACAGAAGCGAAGGCACGTCAATTTTTGGGGTCCAAAATTTTTTGCGCATGATCAGGGCCGCCATTTTATAACCGGCAAAACTGTCATGTCACGAGTGTTGTTTTGATGTGTCAGGATCAGTCATTTATAATTTATGATTTTTTTTTATCGAATTTAAGTGTATTTTAGTGTTTTCCTTTGTATATTTTTTAACAATTATTGAGTAAATCTGTGTTTAGTGCTTTCCTTTGTCTATTTTATGAACATTGTTCAGTAAACATGTTTTTAATGGAAGACTTTTTGTGGTATGTTCTGAGCTATTTACATATTTTTATTTATTTTATTAAAGCAAAATAATTTTTTAGTGAACTGATGGAATCTAAAAGAAAGAGATGTGTTTATCGCCCATGTCTACCTCGAACGGATTCGTATACTAGTTATTTTTCATTTCCCAAAGTTTCAGAAAGGTATGCAAAATAAATTATGCAATTTAAATGACCATGGAGCAGAACCCATCGAGAACGGCTTCGAGTAAAATGAGTAAAACGAGGTACTTTTCAAATGCAGCAATGTTAACTGTATGTTATTTATTTGGCTATTTAATCAAAACAATTATTTTATTATCATTTTTAAATCAAATTATATTTATCTACCTATGACAATGTATTTCGTATTTTTTTAGGTTTCCCATGTTGTTAAGAGCCTGTAGTCGAGAAGACTTGATTAATATAACCAGTGAATAATTACACAAAAGCTACCAGTTGTGTAAAAAACATTTCCAGCCCAGTAGTTTTTCATTTGGATCAACTCGGAAATGTTTATTTGAAAATGTATGTTTGACAATATTCTGACACACACCCACAACAAATGAAATAATTGATCATTCTGAATGAATCTGTACCCTACTAAATCCCACGACGATTTTCTCAGTACACCAGGTATTAAAAATAATATAAAAGTGTTGTTTTTATGTATTTTTTTAATTTAAATATTTTTTTTTAGGTCCCAGCAAAAGAATAACTAACTTTGAAGATTGAAGAGATATTGTTGTTTCTATTTTGATAATGCATGTGCCAGTCCCAAAAATATCCTTCGGTTGGGCCACAATTTTTAAACCAACCATTTGCAGATTAGTTAAATCTCAAGCGGAATTTAAAAACAAAAAGCCTCTAGCTAGAAGACATTCCAATGAATACAAGCAGTTTGTGCTTACCTTGTATTTTTTAGGACCTAGGGCATATTCCTTTGTCTAAAATTTTGTGCCTTTTGATGTGTAGGTAATTTTCATATTGATATTTTTATTAATCTGATTTTTGTAATGTGTTTTTCGTATTTTGGTTTATTAAAATTAATAGTCAGTATGGGTACGTGTTTTATTTATAACAACCTTTTTACTACAGTACTTTTCTTCAAATCTCAATTTAATTCATAGTTCTAATAATTATGCATCTAAAAATGCAAATTTATGTATACAACAAATTCATATGATTTATAAACAAATCCTAAGTCGTCTGGATTTATGAAATACAGCTACGAGGATGTGCCATAATATAAGTTTTCCAAAATAAAGTCCTAAGATGTATCATTGATGCACCCTGGCTCTATCTAAACGATTATCTTCATACAGACAAATAAGAAAAAGAGGTTACTGCAAAACATGAGGGTCGACTCCACTCCCACGTTAATGAAGTGCTGCAATTACTGGACAACTCTGCACAAAAGACTCGAAAGAAAAGCCATTTGAGCTAGTGCTAGTGTAAAACAGTGTAATAAATCGATACGCCAATTATTGGTGATGCTTTTCTACCAACGACTACTAGATTAATTTTGTTTACAAAAATGGAATTGTAAAAATCACAGATTTATCCACCGAGTTGTCAAATTATTATAAGAGTATGGCGAAAGTCTTAATACAAGGATTGTTTATGGTATTATTGACATATGATAAGGTTCTAAAACACATAAAAGGCTTTCAAAATGACAGTTCGGAAGTATTTGCATTTTTAATGCCAGTTATTATTAGTTTAATCTATTTTTCTAGATCCAACTATCACAGTTGAAGGTGTTTTTCAGGAAAGTATACAATTAATTAATACATCAATAATTTGTAATAGAATCCTTCTGTTAAAGAGTTAATGTTATCTAAAAAAACTGATGAATTAAGTACAACGAGCATTCGGTCTGGTTCCTCAAGTAAAAACTCTTTTTTAATATAGCGATCAGTACAATTTAATTCAAAATAAATTATCGTGAAGCCTTATTTTTTCTAATTATATCACTAACCTTCAATTCAGAGAAGAAATAGTGGATGTTGCTAAATAAGTTTGTTACATATATTTAAATCCTTTTCTCAGTGTATTATCCGAATTTATAAGAATCTTGGTAATTTTTACCAGTGTAATAACCGGCAAGAACGTCAACTGTCAGCGAGTGTCACTTTAAATTTTGGCCACCCCGACATCAAACGTGCCGACGCAAGCCTTCATTTCTGTAATAGTGGTTATTCTGTGCTTTTACCATATTTAAAGTTTCAATGGCCGTGTTCATCGTCGTCAAACATGTTTTAAAAGCAAAGAAACATGTTTCATAAGCGGTTGGA